CAGCTCACGGCGGACGTTAGTTTCCCGGTGATATCCGGCCGGTGTTGAGAGATTTGTGCTGGTGTTGTTGTCCAGGCAGCTAGCATGCTAACTGCACCTGCTAGCCACAGAGAATGAAAAGTTTCTTTGCAGCTAACACAAAGCTTTGTTACATCCACTGGGACGTTTTTTGTGTCGAGCTAGTGAACGACTCGGTTTGACTTGACTCTGTGTTCTGAGTAAATTAGCGAAAAGCGAAGATGTTTGTGTTTACGTAAGCTTAGCTAACTTAGCTCCACTGGTGTGTGGCTGTTATCATGGGGACAGAATAAACCCATTCAGTTTGAAGTTAACTTAGACAGCCTGTTTCATATGACTCGATGTGCTCCAAGATAAAAAGCAAAGACAAATACATGATAAAACATGAGGTGAAAAGAAATAACAATTTCAGTCAGTTTTAAGTGAAAATCTAAAATATTCAAAAAAGTAGATTGAAAATAAAAAGCAGAAACACATGACATATACAAGTCAAAATGAACACAATTATATCTGTGTACCACTGAAAGCTTCACAGGCTAATTTCTAGTTTATTCTAGTTATTGTGAGGAGGCCTTTACCCGATGACCGAAGGGGTCTGTGTGGTGTGTATTCAATGAGCATGTCATTAAGAAAAGAAGAAGCTAGGCCTTTCATAGATTTAAAAATATTAAGACGTATTTTAAGATTTTTTAAGTTTATTTAATATCTGCTTTGTGAATTCAGCATGAACTAGTCTTGGGTCTACTGTCATATATACTGTTATATATTTGTAATTACTCCTTTATTTGTAGCAAGAGGGCTCTCTGTGCGCCCAGCACTGCCTCAACAATCTCCTGCAGGGTGAGTACTTCACTCCTGTGGACCTGTCCTCCATCGCTCACCAGCTAGATGAAGAGGAGAGGATGAGGATGGCGGAGGGAGGTATGGCCAGTGAGGAGTACAGGACGTTCTTACAGGTGGGGAGACACAGAAAATGGATGTTGGTGAAGCATGTTCTGTTACGATACTGTGTTTAACTTTATGTTTTTATATATGATGTGTTTTTAGCAACCATCTGGGAACATGGATGACAGTGGGTTCTTTTCAATACAAGTGAGTATAGGACAATCAAATTTTATTGCAGCAGATAAAAAACATTATACATCAGGAATGTCAATAACCTTTTTTTTTATCTAACCCCACTAGGTTATTAGCAATGCTCTGAGAGTGTGGGGCTTGGAGCTAATCCTCTTCAACAGCCGGGAGTACCAGAGCTTGATGATAAATCCAATGTAAAGTTTCTCTTCCAAAACTTTATTATGTTATTTGTCAGATGGCTAAATATGTAATCACATAACTACTTTACAGTGTAAGCCGATGGTAACAGCTACTTTCCTGTTTCAGAAACGAGAAAGCCTTCATTTGCAACTACAAGGAGCACTGGTTTACTGTACGCAAACTAGGACAACAGGTATGAGGCTTAAGTCTACATAAACAACATGAATGCTTGTTTTACTTAAAGCACTGTTTTCTCTTTATTTGCAGTGGTTTAACCTGAATTCACTTTTGACTGGACCAGAGCTGATATCAGACACCTATCTAGCCCTTTTCCTTGCACAGCTACAACAAGAAGGTATTGTAATATTGAGTTATTTAGAGCATGATTAGATGATGCAAAGCAGAAAAGAATACTACATTTGTGTTTGTGCAGGTTATTCCATATTTGTGATTCGAGGAAACCTCCCTGAGTGTGAGGCAGAGCAAATCCTGGGGATCATGAGAGTGCAGCAGCAGCAGCGCCCCAGACTCATCGGAGAGGATGAGGCCCAGACAAGTGCAGGGTGTGTGTACCGAATGTGACTGTACAATGTAGAGGACGCGTATATTACTCAAAAAGGACTGTCTTAGTGTCATATTACTTTCAATAAACTTTTCATTTACTTGTGGCAACTGATCAAGCCTTGTACTGTGAGCAGCAGGTCAGCAGCTCTGGGCCAGACAGAGATGAACTTTGGTGTGGAAGATGAGGTTGTGGATGACGATGAAGAACTGAAGAAAGCCCTGGCACTTAGCAGACAGGACATAGATGTGGAAGATGAGGAAGCGGATCTTCGCAGGGCCATACTGCTCAGTATGCAAGGTAAACTAGGATTCATTCAGAGGTTTAAATATATTTTATGTTTTAATGTGTCAGATAGTCTCCTTCCCTATTTTCACGAATCTTATTCCAAGTTCACAGTTGGTAGTAATAACGTTTTGACTGTTTGTTTTTTTTTGCTAGGATCAGTGATGAGCAACACATCTCCAGAGTCTGAAGTTGGAGCTGGGAAATCAGGCAGTCAGGCAGCAGGGAGCTCTGCAGGAAGTCAAAGAGAAGGCCAAAGCGAGGCTCTCACAGCTGAGGAACTGAGGAAGCGGAGACAAGCCTACTTTGATCGGTAGGTTCAGCTGCATGTCTGCACTGTGGACTTCGTATTGCAAACACATGATCGCTATCGGCTTCAGAAATCCTGCTGTAACAAGTGCTTTGTAAATTCAAGTACAATATTATGTTGTGTGTCCTGTGTAAATAGTTGTACTTATGATAACAACCTCTGACCCAAATTCTCTGTGTTGACTGTTTAGGCAGCAGCAACAAGCTCAGCCGAACAATCCTCAACAACCACACATAAAATCAGAAGGTGGCTCAGGTGAGCACATCAGATTTTTTTTGTATTCAGATAAGTACATATTGTTTATTTAATGTCCATCCAGTAAGAAACTATCTTGTGCTGTCTTCCTCTTCTAGGATCTGTAAACACTGGCTCTGAGGAGGACCAACAACAAAAGCTCAGCCAGTGATGGTGTGGAAAGTTTGCCTGTGTTGTTTACCAGCTGCCTGGATTGGCAACCCCATACAGGGGGTAGCTTTGCTCCTTCCTCTAACCTTTTGCACGTGCGAACATAAGGACAGTCAGGAGGCTGACACGTTTTCCCCCGATTAGTTCGCAACAGAGGCTTCAGAGAAGAGAACAATGACAAAGAACACTGACAAAGTAAAGGCAGCAGTTAGTCTAATCTAACTCAGTAAGGCACTGAGGCTGGGAAAAGGGTGACCACAGAACTCATGATGCAGTTAATCCAAGTTTGCAATTGCCTTTGTACCATGGCGCCTTCTATTTCTATTGTGTACTGTTTTTTATTCTTGTTTATTCTCTGGAAGAGAAGGAAAAGAATCTTCAGCATACAGTACAAAGGATGCGTTTACTTGCTTGGTGTGAATACATGCAGAGACAGATTTTCTGTGAAAGCCACAGGAGACCAGTGTTAAGCCCACACAGAAAAGCATGATTAGAAACTGACAGAGTCCACTTACCTTTGTATTGGACTTAGGTTTGTTGGACATAAGATGTGATTCCAGTACTCACCCCAGAACATGTGTGGTTTTCAAATCCTTTCATTTTTTGCAATGTACTGAAACAATTTTTAGCCAGCGGCACTAAGTGTGGGTGATTTATTCCTGACATCATCAGTCATTTTACTTGAACACTGACAAATTAATTCCCAAGGTATTTAGACAACAACATATTTTTGACGTTGTGGTTTTTACCTATAAGATCATTAGCAGGTATCATGAAATGTAAGATTTCAAAGCTTATAAACAGGGTGTTTTGTCCAGTTTGGCTAGATAGTTAAACATTATTCTATAGAGCTATTTGTCAAATCTAGGATACCTTTAACTGATGGATATTTTACATATCTTGTTCAGAATAAGTTGACATGTAATAGGGAACAAAGACAAAATCTATATGACACTGCAGCTGATAGATAAGTACATCATTAATTTTACCAGCATATTATAACCACACAAAAAGTCTAACAAGTCCAAATAGTCTGTATTTGACTTCACATGTTATTTCTCTTCATCAGTATTTTGTCATGAACTGTAAAGGAAATTCATTTTAAGAAAAGATTGTTAAAATTCCCTTGGACATCCCAGTTTACAGTTACAGCCCCGAAATATACTTGTTACACTTGTTTGAATTATCCTGTATTGCAATAATACAGAGTAGTGCTGTACACATGAGCTGTACAAAGATGCATTCATTTGCACTGAGGTTGTCAAGGGTTCAAGCTATTGGCTGATGAGTAGAATTAACAGTAAAATATCAAGGAAGAGGGAAGACTGTTATTTAACCTCATGATTTGTATAATGTAAAATCCAAAGAACCATCCAAAACATAAAAAATATGTCATCACACATACACTTTGAAGATTTCATTTATTTCTCTTTTTTAATTCAATTCTGAACATCATTTCTTTAAAATTGCTCATGTTTTCTCCTACAAGTTTCCATTTAGTCCTGATGAACAAAATCAGGCTACAACGCATGATGAAAATGAATAAACCATATTATGGCATTAAAAAAGTTACATTTGTTTACAGTTCTAAAAACTTCTGGAACCATTCAGCATGGATATAGCTTGATGCCTCCACTAAAGTGCTGGATGTCATGTAAAGTTTGTCTTTTGGTGCTGGATGACCGATTCCATGATAGCATTATTGTTTTTTTGTTTGTTTCCTTTTTGATCTGTAAGGCTTTTTTATATTTAAAATACACTTGTGAAACAGTATAAAATGTTGTTAGTTAGGTTTTTATCATGACATGATTTTTCACTCACTGCATTCTATCAATAGCACTAATTCATGATTTTTGTCATATGTCACATTACCACATTATGCATTAGTTGTTCCAGGATTAAAGTGATATTCACTCCTAAAGTTTGCCATGTCTTAAAATGAGATCATGTTTTCACCACTGTCCATTTGTTTGTTGATTGGATTGTTTGTTTATCTGGTGAGCAAGATTACATAAAAACTACTGGATGGATTACCACAAAACTTGGTGGAAGAATGCGGGTCGGCATAGAACCAATTCATTTGTAGTGTGGATCAAGATCAGGGGGTGGATCGGTGAGAAAAGGCTTTTTTACTATAATTCTTGGAACTCGATGGATGAGTCTGCAATTTTGTGCAATTATTGACATCACATCTGGAAAAGAGGCTGTGACTGTTTGAGAAACAGCTCTGACTAAATCTGGCTCAACACAACAGCGGGTATGTTGTGGTTAATATATAACACTCAGAGCACACTTGCACTTTGTTTCCTCAAATAATAGATGAAGCTTTCAGACGCAGTATTTCCAAGCTGAATGGTATGTATGCCAGATGGTGCATTTTGGAGAATTTCAGTGACAACTATCTGTTACATTTTAGAATGTCATTTACTCTAAAGGCCTTTGTGGTCATTTGTATGGATCCAAGTCAGCAACAGCGTTTCACATGTGCTTTTTTAACCTATTTTTGACATCTACATGTCTATGTGTTTCAGGTTGTTCCTTCAAACCTTCCTAGACTTGGAATTTTGGCTTTAGACAAAATGAAGACGGGGTGGATTTTTATTCTATCCTACATGTGCTTCCTCATTCCTCTCCACCAAGCACAACTTCCTAGTGCCAACATCTCAGATCTTTCCTTCAAAAACATGGACTTTGCCATGAGTCTTTACAGAAAAATTTCCAGTTACCACGACAAGAACATCTTTTTCTCACCCCTGAGCATTTCAACCAGTTTCACCGCTCTATTGCTGGCTTCTGACGGCGTCACCTATGAGGAGTTACTAAAGGGTCTCAACCTGAAGCAGCTGGAGAAGGCCAACCAGCCAGAACTCATCCCGAGACTTTTCCAGCTCCTTCACGAGAACATCACACAGAGCGGATCGCTGAAACTGGACGAAGGCATGGCTCTCTTCGTGCATCCGGAGTTTGAGGTGGCAAAGAATTTTGAAAATCAGATAAAGAGCTTTTTTGATGCTGACATCAAAACTGTTAACTTCACGGACACAAAGGGAAGTGTCAAGTTCATCAATGAATACATCAAGAAAAAGACTGAGGACAAGGTGACAGAGATTATATCAAACCTGGACGCACAGACCCAGCTTATGTTAATCAACACAATCTTCTTCCAGGGTAAGATCAATCCCTCTGACTACTCTGTATTGATTATAGATTATATTTACAATTAAGTAGTATAATGTCTTTCACAGGAGCCTGGGAGTTGCCGTTCAACCCCAATTTCACTCAAAGTTATCCCTTCTACATCGATAACTATAACATTGTGCAAGTGCCCATGATGATTCAAGAGGATAAGTTCTACATGATGGACGATGTCCCTCTTGGAGCCAAAGTGCTGAAGCTGCCATACAAGAAAGGTGTCTCCATGCTCATCCTGCTACCCAACAAAGGCATGGACTACACTGTAATTGATGATGAAATCACTGCTAGCAGGTTCCTCACCTGGGTCAGAGAACTGCAAAGAACGTAAGAGTGTACATTATTATATCTTTCATTAGCTTAAGTTCTGTTTGTCATTCACATTCTGTACTGAAAGAAAGACAATTTTTGGGCCAACTTTAAAGAATGACTTCGATTGGGTACACGTAAAATAGGTTTGTTAAAATTTAAAATAAAAAAAATTTAAATTAAAATATTGTTTCTAATTAAATAGATATAAATGTTAATTCAGCTTGATTTATTCATAAATCTTTTTCCAGTTTGTTTAGCTGTAATTATGTAAGACTTTGTGGCAACTTCTCTAAAAAGGTGCCATGACAAGAATCTAGCAACAAGAGTGCAAATCAATTGAAGATACATTATACGTAATACTTAGAATAACCAATGTATCTACTCAACATGTTTGACCACGTTGTGTTCTCAGCAAACTGGAAGTCAACATGCCCAGGTTCAAGATGGAGCAGTCTTACTCCCTGCACCACCTCCTACCAGACATGGGCATGCCAAGTATCTTCAGTAATTCAGCCAATTTGACGAAGCTGAGTAAGGATGGAGGCATCAAAGTGTCAGAGGTTGGTTTTCAATGTCCCAGTGCTGTAACAACATATTGACTAAATCCAGACGGCAGAAGATGACCTTTGTCTCTCCTGTAAAACCGCAGGTTCTGCACAAGGCTGTGATTGAAGTGGATGAAACTGGGACCACGGCAGCAGCTGCCACAGCAATCGGCATTACTCCGTATTCCTTACCCCGGATATTCACCATCAACCGGCCGTTTTTCTTCTTCATATATCATGAAGACACAAACACTCTGCTTTTCATGGGTCGGGTGATTGACCCCACTCAAAATTAGTAGTTCTTTATGCAGGCTTCTTTAAGGCTTGAAATTGTTTTGGTCTGTTTGTAAAAGCCAAACATATATGTGATCAATATTAATAAAGACTTTACATTGACATGTCTTCCTATGGGATTAAATCAGCATCATGTGTGTATTGCTCATACTATATGAAGAGTACACTCTACATAAATGAGACGTCCACAGTATTTCAATAAATTACTTTGTCATTTTTATAGAGGTTTTAAGTTGCGATTAATGCCTTCATTTGTAACTACATTAATAACTGGATTTATTTAAGTTCAAATTTACTTCATAAATTGATTCGAGTAAATTCAATGTAATCAATTTATGAAGTAAATTCGAAATTCTACTAAATTAGGTTAATAAATTAATTTGTTATTATAAATACTGCTCACTAGGGCTGGCTATATTCAGTCTATGGGTAATACACCCAAAAATGTTTAAAAATCTCATATCTGACAATATCTTTAATTATCGTGAGCAATGTCACTATATTATTGCTTATTTATATATGATATATATGTTTAATATATTAAAACCCCTTGGAATTCTGTTATATTGCTATTGAAAATGTATTTAAAGAATATATTTAAAAGATATTTTACACATACATATACTGGAGTATATGTATGTGTAAAATATGTTATGGCCCTTCCACACTGTTGATGGTGAGAAGCACATTAGGCTGCTCTGTCCCTGTTGGTTCGACAAATAAAGTTTTTTCAAACCACGTGACCATTTCTGTCATGGCTGCGCCCTCGTGTCCTGCGTGGTTGTAAACAGCTCTGCTTCTATTCTGAGGTTTCGAGGAGGCGCAGAGAGTCGAGGTACGTGTCAACTGTTTGTTTTTAGAGTTGTTGTGTAGTTTATAACCTGTTCTTTGAGATGTGTGTTTCTTTACGAGTGAGATTTTGTAGATAAACCTTCTGGCACGTAGTCGCTGGGTAACTGCAAGCGAGCAGTGACTGGTAGGAGACACGTGCGTCCCAAAAACAAAGTATTTCCAAAGTTAACTTGGTTGTTTTATGTGTTTGTAGAAAAATGAAGACACATAAGATGAAACCGAGAAGCAGGGGTGTGTCGTCCGGGCTGAAGAAAAAGAACAAGCGGAGCATCCATGTGAAAGGCAGCTGGAAAGCTGTGGAGCTCGACCCCAGCCTCTTCTCCGAGGAGGGCTTGGAGGGTCTGGTGTGTTTCGAGGAGCTGACAAGTTACAGTCTGGTCGACCCTGCGAAGGCTGCGGCGAAGGCTGCGGCCAAAGCAGCGAAAGAGCTGAAGAAGAAGGAGGAGAAGAAGAAGAAGAGAAAGGCGAAGAAAAGAAAAGCCAGCGAGGGAGAGGAGCAGGGAGGAGGAGGAGGAGGGACTCCTGGTGTGGAGGGCACAGAGGTAGAGGAAACAACTGAACCACCTAAGAAAAAAGCCCCAAATAAGAAGAATAAGAAACAAGCTGCAAAGGAATCAGTCCCACAAGATGTCATTTCTACAGAGGAGACACAGAAGGATGGGGCCGAAAATCAGGAGGGAGGAGCAGAGGGTGACACAGCTAAAGAAGAGCCTCAACAAAATGTCCAAGCAAAGAAGATCAATAAAAAGAAGAATAAGAAACAGAAGCAGCAGATAGAAGAGGATAAAGATATAGAGAAACTGACTAATCTGGAACTTCAGGCAGAGGAAAAACCCTCGCAAGAAAAGGCGTCAAAACCCCCGAAAAAGAGTAGGAACTGGACAAATGTTGCACTTTCTGGCTCTGAGGACCAAAACGCTGATGTGGGAGCGTGGAAGGATCTGTTTGTTCCTTCCCCCGTGCTGAAGGCGCTGAGCAGCCTTGGATTTGGTTCGCCCACGCCGATTCAAGCCCTGGCACTACCTCCAGCCATCAGGGATCGTATGGATGTACTGGGGGCAGCGGAGACGGGTAAGATCATGTGTCCGACATAGCTTTTTGTTCCAAAATAATTTATTACACACTGTAGTTAATGTGAGCACTGTTATTGCAGGAAGTGGTAAGACGCTGGCTTTTGGTATTCCCATGATCCACGCCATCCTGGAGTGGAGAAAGGGCTCCGATGAACCTGCTGACAGCAACAATGAACCGGCCACACAGGTGGAGAGTTTGTATTTACCAAGCCTAACGTCAGAAAATGATGCTGAGTCCATAACAGAGGAGGACAACGAGGAGGCTGTGGAAGAAGAGGACCAAGGTGACTCAGATGACGGTGAGGAGGAGGATGATGATGATGAGCACAGTGGTGAAGACGAAGATGAGGATCAAACCCTTGGATGCGTTAAAGTGATCAACGATGCAGAATTTGACTTAAATGCTGAAGAAAACCCTGCAAGGGGTCAGAATCAGCCTCTGCTTGGACTGGTGCTCACTCCCACCAGGGAGCTGGCTGTTCAGGTCAAACACCACATTGACGCTGTCGCTAAATTCACTGGTGAGTTATTTAACCTAGCATCGTATCAGGGTCTTCATCCCTTTAAACAGTTCTATGAATCTAAACTAAAGATGTTACTGGATTGCAGATATCAAGACGGCGATAGTGGTGGGAGGAATGTCACAGCAGAAACAGAGGAGGATGTTAAAACGCCGGCCGGAGATTGTTATTGCAACTCCAGGACGTCTTTGGGACTTAATCAAGGAGAAACACCCTCATCTACTGAACCTCAGACAGCTCAAGTGAGTCACAGTCACGCCTTGGTTTCTTTTTCATTTGTTGCCTTTTGACAGATGTTTTCTTGGCTGTAGTTGACGTCTTATTTTTAACACATCAGTTGTAAGTAACAGAGTGGTGTAAGTGTCCAAGAAAGGTGGAATTGGGGGAAATTGGACTTGGTTTTAGAGAGATGATGGCTTCATCAAGACGTTCTTCATATTTGTGTTGCACCATATCACAACATGTAGAGATGTCCGTTACCGATGCCAGCATCAGAAACGTCTCAGATTGCCAAATATGCTGAGTTGGGGATCAGTGAATCTTCTGTGCCTATCCGATACCACGTTTTTAAATTATATTAGTTTCATATTGATATGTGCTGGGCGGGTTCTTGTGCAATCATCTTAAAACTACAGCCCAACAGCAGCAGCATGATGTTTTCTGAAAGCTAAACAGAAACCACAGGCGGTGACTCTCTTTTTATTAAATTTTACTGTGTTCCAGAGTTTTGCCTAGTCCGGTAGAACATGGCAGCTCTGTATTTATTTCTTTAACGCCAAAATGCTGACCAGTCAGGTTGAATCCGTCCTTCACTCACACTACTCCGCTCCCTTCACTGGTTACCAGTGGCTGAGCTAGCCACTCAACAAAATCTCGACTGTTTGCTGTCCTGGCTACTAAATGGTGGCACGAGCTCCCCATTGACATCAGGACAGCAGAAAGTCTACACATCTTCCGCTGCAGACTAAAGACACATCTCTTCCGACGACAAAAAATATTTGCACTTTTAAGCAGCACCTTGTTGTTCTGGGTTTGTACCATAGACTGTATATAAAGAGGTTTGTACCCTCATGGTTGAATGCAATTATTGTAAGTAGCTTTGGAGGAAAGCGTCAGCTAAATAAAATGTGATGAGTCGCCTGTGTATCTGGCAGTTTGCTGTATTTAAGAATATTGCCAAGTCAGGAGAAAACAATAGACATAGACAGTTTTATTCTGATCTCAGAAAAAACACCTTGAGAGATGAGAGGGATGTCCGAAGTGTGAGTATTGATATGACGCATGTTGTGGGGTTGTGTTATTCTGCAGGTGCCTGGTCATAGATGAAGCAGATCGTATGGTGCAAAGAGGCCACTTTGCAGAGCTGGAGAATCTGCTGGAGATGCTGAACACCGTGCACTTCAACCCCACGAGGCAAACGTTTGTGTTCTCTGCCACACTGACCATGGCTCACAGCCTGCCCAGCCGCATCCTGCAGAAGAAGAAGAAGAAGAATCTGGACCAGAGGGGCAAACTGGAAGTTCTCATGGAGAAAGTAGGGATCAAGTCCAAACCCAAAGTCATCGACCTCACCAGGAAGGAGGCGACAGTGGAGACGCTGACTGAGACGCGGATCCACTGTCAGAAAGAGGACAAAGATTTCTACCTGTATTACTTCTTGCTGCAGTTCCCTGGGCGCACCATGGTGTTCGCCAACAGCATAGACTGTATCAAGAGGCTGAACTCCCTGCTGGTGATCTTAGACTGTGATCCACTGCCTCTACATGCCAACATGCACCAGAAACAACGCCTGAAAAACCTGGAGAGGTTTGCTGAGAGGGAGAGGTGAGTGTTGCTCACACCTGCACTAGCAGTCTGAACTTGTTTGCTTCTGGTTGACTTGATCCAGTAATTGTGTCTATGGTGAAATATTAAAACTTGTTGCTACTGCAAACTGACGCTTAAGGGTTTAAACTGCTTCTGAGTTTTGGGTTACATGAGTGAGTTGCATCATAATGCATATTTACCTCCACCTTGGAGGTTATGTTGTAATTGCTGTCAGCTAGATAACTCAAAAACTAACTGCTTTGCATGGGATTTTGTGGAGGGGTGGGGCATAAGCCAAGGAAGAAATCAAACCAAACATTTTTTTTCCCATTTCTTTAACATGCTGTAATCACAACAAGAATTCTGAAGTTTCAAGATATTTATTTTCTAACATAGGTTGGATTCAGAGAACAGGTTGCTTCATACAGGGATTTTATTCACTCCTTCTGGTGGAGGAGGGAGGAACTACTAGAGCACACATTGACTGTCAGTCATGTCTGTACATGTATCTTGACAAGAACACTCAAAATACACTTACCTTGTTAAAGTTTATTGAAAATAGTTACGTTAACTTTAACTCCACCTAGTTAAATCGAATTCAATATCATTTTAACATGTACCTCTAATGTTTGTAATATGCAGTAGCAGTGAGTCATAGTAAATAATTACATCTCCAAGGTAGCCAAAAACCAGACCCCCCCCCCAAAAAAAACCAAACAATAATTTTCTATCTCCAACATTGAGTTCCACCATAAATCTCCTGCTTTACTGAACGGATGTGACTTGATTCACAGTTGTGTTCTGCTGACCACTGATGTAGCTGCAAGAGGACTGGATATTCCCAATGTCCAACATGTGATTCACTACCAGGTACGTTCCTTTTATTCAGATGTCCAAATTGTTGAATTTGGACTTCCTGCATTCAACTAACTGGAACACCAATCACTATACAACCCTGAGTGATAGAATAATTCTCGTTTTAACTAATGTTTCATTTACTCTTCTTAGTCTTGAGATCTAAGAATGAAAAAACATTATTGTGCATGGTGAGATTTGTATTTAAAAATGTTTCGGAATGTCTGTACATACGTCCATCCCATGAACATGATAGCTCAAGAATGCCCTGAGGGAAATTCCGTACAAGTACTAAGGACTCAAAGATGAACTGATTAGATTTTGGTGGTCTAAGGTCAAGGCCACTTGACCATGTGTTGTTTTGAACTCAATATATCAGAAATGCCCTAAAGGAATTTCATTACATGTGGCACAAACATTCACTTGGACTCAAGTATGACCTGAATAGATTTCTCAAATAACATGTTTTTGGCCTCTTGAATGTGATATCTCAAGAGTGCTTGAGGGAATTTCTTCAACTTTTGATCAGTTGTCACTTGGGCTACAATTTTCAGATAAAGTGATGACATTTCAGTGGTCAAAAGTCACAGTGACCATATACGAAAAATGTAGAAATATGGTCATGGAAACTGCACTGGTTGGCGGAGGCATACACCCGCAGTGCGGTAATTCTAGTTTTGTTTTTAAGAATACTTCTTCTTATACTGGCTATCTGTTCAAATAATTTGGATGCCCTACTACTTCAGGTTCCCAGGACATCTGAGACTTACGTCCATCGGAGTGGCAGAACAGCGAGAGCCACTAAAGAGGGTCTCAGTTTGCTGCTAATAGGCCCAGATGACATGTTGAACTTCAGAAAGATTTATAATACTCTAGGGAAGGACGAGGACCTTCCAATGTTCCCCATAGAGATCAAATGCATGGAAGCAATCAAGGTGAGCTCCACTGGTATTAGGTCCTGTACATATGTCACGTTAAAGCAGTTATTTCTGATTGTTAACGGTTGAGTGTGTCCCACCACAGGAAAGAGTAAACTTGGCCAGAAACATCGAGAAGATTGAGTTTCACAACAGCAGAGAGAAGCAGCACAACTCCTGGTTCAAACAAGCAGCCGAGGCCCTGGAGGTGGACTTGGATGATGATCTTTTACTCGGTAAGACCAACAAAACCATATCTGTGACAAGTTATGTCTTTTGAAAAGTGTTCAAATGCAAACCGCTGAAGGTGCCACATTTGTTACAGGCAGATCAAAGGGTGAGGACACTGACAGAGAGCAGCAGAAGATGGTCAAGGGCATGAAAAAGCATTTGAAGCATTTGAGCTCCCAGCCTGTGTTCAAGAACCTGGTAAAAACCAAGTACCCGACTCAGATGGGAAAACTCGCCCTGCCTCACCTGCCTCGTGCCGGAATGGAAAGTGCCCTGACCAAGGTGTCGCTACAGCAGAAGGAAGACGAGTTAAAGAAACGTGGTCCACCACAGCGAGGGAAAAAGAAGCAGAAGAAAGAAAAGAAAAGCAGCAGCAGCAGTGATATGTTATAAGAAATGTGTATTTAAAAAAAATCCATCTTTGACACAGTTAAAATGTTAAATAGATAAATGTAATTTTTAACATGCACAATGTGCAATAATTGTATTTCCAGATGTTGTTGAATCTCTGTACGCTGCAAGAGTTTATAAAAATCTGTTTTCACAAGTGTCTCAAAGCGCTGCTGGGATGTATTCAACCAAAGTCAAGGTTCCTGAGTTGTGCAGGGGTGTGACGTATCGCTGGTCATTGCTGAGGTTGTGGGTAGAGAATGTTGTAGTGAGACGTTTGGTAGAGGAGGTGCAGGGAAGGTTCAGCACCCTCTGGAATCATGTGGTGAGCCAACTGCTGTTCATCACCCTCCATAGAGACGATATGTGTGCAAATGTCCAGAGCCTCAGAGAGAGCCAGAATGTCCACGTGATCACACTCCATGGCCATCACCTCCACTTCCTGCGTGAAGGGAACAAAGATGCCAGTAAACCTGCTCTAACTGCAACAGATTATCTTGTTTTTCTCACTAGATGGCAGCAACACTTTACTAACCTGACGACAGTATGCGTGTAGATTGGGCGCCTCCACAAAGTTGCAGAAGAAGTCTGCGTGGCTCTGCAGGTGTGCCGAAGTGAGCAGCCTGAGATACTGCACCACGCCATCCGAGGTGATCTGCTCATTGAAGAGCCTCAGCAAAGCGTCTTCCTGCTCATCAGCCTGGCACTGCTCCACCACATTGACAACCTTCAAGAGAACAGAAACAATCAGGTAATGAGTTTTACCAAAAAAATAATGTTCCCAATACCACAAAAGAAGATGGAATAACAGTTCTAAGTTAAGACGCAGACTTTTAATACTATTAACAGTAAGGTGCAACTCATGCCGGTTATGTCAGTTGATTCAAAACTGAAGGATTTCAAAATGTAAATCCAATCCGTTTTGAGTCACTACTGAGCAGTGGGGCTTAAACATTTTCTCCCATTCTTTCCAGTTTGTTGCCCTGAACTGGTTAATATAGACACACAGATTTCCTACTGCTTGGGCAGTTTTTATTAAATGGTGCTATGTTAGACTTCTGTAGAGATGGTTTATTCAAAAGATCTGCATGGAGTAGGGGAACTGACTGAAAATGGAATTTAAAGATGTTGAAGTACATTCATATTAGTTAGATCCTCCAAATAAAGTACAGGGAAACATTGTTCTTTGCAGCTGACTGATGTAAGAATCGGAAACCAGTCAAAAACACTTACCTAAGTAACTACAACATGTTTGTACTTGATGTTCAAGTGTTCAGGAACACACAACTATAAATGTGTCATGTCAGTCAAGTCATGGTTATTGACTGTACTGCCTTTAGGGCCCAAAATGGAATAATGACGTTCTGAGGCCACAAAGCAAATAGTATCTCAATTGTCATTTATGTTAATGGATATGTCAGTGTCTTATTAGAAAATTGTAACTGAACTACTTGATAACTTCATGGTTTTAATCGAGTTATTTACCGTGTCCAGGTGTTGTTTGAAGCGGCTCTCATCAAATCCTGCAGAGGACAACACTTCACTGCTTTGGATTATTTTGTCCTTGAAGCTGAAATTGAAACCATTATCACTCACATCTATAATGCAGTATTTCACCAACACCAGTATATGTTTGGTAGTTTGTGGCAATGTCAGTAGTGATGATTACTGACCTCTGCAAAGCTCTAGTGTTATGTAGGACGGACTCCATGTGAGAGAAGCAGAAGGCTCTGTAGAAACAGTTTCCATCACCACGCACTTTCCTCACAGAGGAGAACTGGCTGCTCAGATCCTGACAAAGGACAGTGACAGTGGTTAGTATAGATACATGCGTATATACGCGACCACTGCAGTACAACAGCCCACCTACTTTATACTTGGCCCCGGGTGTTTGCTGTGGGAACAGTGAGGAGATGTCCTCTCTGTGCGAGACGAGACTTCCAGCCTCCATCTGCCGTAAAACCCAGTGAGCTGACAGCCTGGACCGAGCAGGGAGACACAAAGCACACCCTGTCTATACGAGCCAGGAACGCGCACCTTCACATTTCAACGACAGGGAGACAGCGACAGAAAACAGTTTGTCAATCCTCCGCCCGTCAGAGAATGTGTCAACACGTTGTTACAGTTTTATTTCCATTTTCTGAAAAACCGGATGTTTGCATGTACCACGTGCTCTTGTTAAAGCGACAGTACCAAATTTATTTAACGCCCTGTTCAGACCAATGTTGGTGAAACACCACACAGGAACTAAACTCTGGTTTTATAATGCAGAAGATGTTAAATAATGAGGAGCATTGTTTTTATTATGTGCAAATCAATGCAACAATGGATAAACATTGTATATATAATGTACAAAAATGTTACAAAATGTAACCGTTAAGGACTTTTTTTTATAATGTAGGAAAAATATACAAGAATGTAACAATGCAACATTCTTAACAGGCAAATATAGAAAATATATAACAAAATGTAACTTTGTTCTAATACTGTAGTGGAAAAATTACAACAAATATTGTTTTTACAATGTAGAAAATGTAACAAATAATAATCTTTTATAAATTTGAGCGCAAAAGTACAAGCTGTGAAATCGACATTAACAGTGTCTTTAATTGACCTCTTTACAAAGTTAGCCTTAAATATAGGAATGTACCCTGCATTAGCCTTCATCACTGTTTCAATTTAAGTCTATAGGCATGCGAGTCATTAACAGTATTCACATCCGTAAGTAAAATTAGAAGTATTTAAATCTATACATAAAATATTCAGATAATTGCATATCTTTTTGTTTTTATGTGTCATACAATTTACCTGTGCTGTATTGATATATGACCATTTTCATGTATCTTATTGAGATGAGGTTAATTTTGAATAACCTAATAATTGCTGATCATATGTTTTGCATGTCAAATCTTCATATCCAAAGTAACTGCAGCAGTCATGTTATTGTAGTGAAGTAAAATTACAAAGAGGCATAGAATGGAAATGCTGAAGTAAATTACCAAAACTTTTCTGAGTAAATTTAAGGAGTGACTTTTAACTTTTCTCCTTAATGAATGGCTTTTCTGAAGGCCTATGAGAGGGGTTGTAACCTTAAACTAGAGATACACTTAAAACAGACCAAAAAAGCTACTGACAGGAGATACACACCAAACAAAATCTTTTCTGGAATGTTGAACCATAACCGGGTAACCCAGATTACTATATAATCTTTAGGAATGGAAATTACACACGAAAGAAATGTATTATAAGTATAGTTTAACATGCTATGTTACTTTTAGTGTGTTGGAGAAACAGCATTGCAACATAATTGATGGTCTGCACTACAAAGCTGTTCCAGAACTTATATGTACAGCAGTGTTTGACAACATGGAGCACACTATTGGAAAGTTATAACATCAGAATCTTTCTGCTACACTGTATTTTTCCTCTATTTAATAAATAAAAATATAGAATATCACAAAGAATCCTTACTCTATATAGTTCAAAATGTGATGTCATTTCATTTCAACCACAATGTCATTTCATTGTACCTACTTTATTTTTGAAATGCAGCAGTAATACTTATTTACGAAGTTATGATACATTTGATCACCTTCTCAAAATATCAAGTTTTTCTAACATTAAACCTTTAGAGTCACTCTTCAAATCACTCCTAAATGTTGAAAATATATATATTTCCAGAACTTTCCCTGCATCTCACAATGTCAAAAATGGACACTCAGCAAATTGCTGTTGGCAGTACCACCATGCTAAGATGTCAAGATTCTGCATCAACATATTGTTTCGCTCTTTCTACTGGCTTTACTTGAACTTTTGATTTGTGTTCTACTGCTGATGCTTTTCATTGAAGCCCTCTCTCTTTTGTCTGTCAAAGCCGTCCTGCTCGTCATCGCAGACCCAGATTCCATCAGTCGCCTCGCTCTCTTCTCCGTGTCTGCCCTGTCCAGAATGTACTCCTGAAAACAAAATCTTTGTTTCTCAAAAGTCAGGTGAATAACCAGTGGGCAATCAAAATGTAAACCTGAGGACATTACCTTCACCATGTCCATCTTTGTCAGGTCGTTCATGTTCTCCAGCGGTCCATATGTGGGTAGATAACATTGCTCTGCAAGGTTGTGGATGACCATAAGTAAGCTTCCCACTTCCTCAACCTGAGAGATAATGAACATTTATCAATGTTTCTATCTGAAACTGCTGTTGGTAAATTACCTGAGGGTGATCTCAGCTCATAATCTGTAGGGCGTACCTTTTCTCTGGACAGGCCTTGTACCATCAGCAGGTTCACCTCTGCCTGCTCGTTCTTCTCTTTAAGCATTTCTAACTCACTCTGAAGTTCTGACAGTTCTTTGTTGGCCATCTGCAACAGCCACGAAAATATTGTTCAAGCATCGTGAATCAAAGAAATGCTGCACTGTAAATCTAAATGTGTTTGTCTGACCAGTTTCTTTATTCCGTGCTTCTGCTCCATGGATTGCAGTCGTCGCTGGCCCTCCTCCACTTCCTCCTCCAGCCGCTCCAGACGATGCAGCAGCTGCTGGTTGGTGATGGACAGAGTCTCGTGACGTTGAATAATGGGCATAACCAAAGATTCAGACCCATTATCGAGGTAAGCTGGAAAAGTATGCACACAATGTAATTAACTCATCGGGATTAAATGAACACGTTTATATAAGCATTCAACTTATAGAATGTACAAAAAGATGGACGACATGACTGCTCCTCAAATGTGAAGTCAAAGCATCTTGATTGCCACCTGGTGGCTGGTTGCAATGTAGTTTCTATAAACTTCATTGCAACTTTATGTTTGGTTTTAATTAGTTACTTGATGCCATAAAAAGGGGGAAATGTCATGATTGACAGCTGAAAGTGATGATTGGTCAAGCCAGTGTATCAGCGGGTCCTTGGTAAGATGGTGACGTTCATATGTGGGATATTTTGGCTTCATTTCTGGATGGTGGGAGGAAGTGGAGAGGCGTCGTCCATCTTTATATTATTTTGTATATTTATATCACACATCAAGGGCGATAAGAGTCAGTCTTAAACTTACTGCTGGGAAGATATTCTATTGTTTTCATCAAGTAGTCCTCATAGATTTTGTATTTTGTCATTCTCTCTTTTAAAACTTGCTGTCTGTGAATTGAGATATGGTAGGAGGTTAAAATAATGTGCAATATCCCCACATCAACGCTTGGTTTTAAGTTTTTACCTGGTGCGAAGTTGTTTCAGCTGTTTCATCAGATCTTCTATCTCTCTCTGCTTCAAAATGTTCTGCTCCCGTGCAGCTTCATACTTCTTCAGCGATCTGCATCGCTTCACTTCATTTTCAGCCACGAACCTCTCAAATTTCATCGCTCTTTCTTTAGTCTGTGTGGAAATACAAATCCCAGAGGGCATCAGTATCGGATCAGTGTTATTTTACTGTCTGGTAGAATCAGAAAGTGATATTTCCTCTGAACTGAAGTAGGTTGAGGAGCACACATTAAGGTTTCAGCTCACCTCCTGGTATTTTATGTCCAGTTCAGACTTCCTCAGTGCCAAAGCCTCAACGCTGCTCTTAAACTCTTGCCGTTTGAGTGCGAGCAGCTTGTTCACCTCATCTAACTCAGTCTGTTTCTTCAGAACCACCGTCTTTTGCAAAGTGTTCACTCCGGCCTCAAGGACTCTGCTGGGAGTCTAAGAATAATACACAACCACAACACTGAAACTCTTCCAATGTGGTAAAATGAGCAAGAAAACACAATTTACATTGAAACTTTTAAACCAGGACGAAAAATAGAATTACAGAAATGACAATTAAAAAAAGCAGGTTTAAGTGAATAAATCACATAAGAAACAAATATATAGAACAATTAAATAACTATAATAACTAAATAACTATTCTTTAACCTAATGTTTGTTGAGTTTTATCTCATTTGCTGCTAAATTTTAAATATTTTGGTTTACTTGACCGATTTGATATTTACCTGCTATTAACATAAAATGTTATTTGCCTATTTTGTTTTATTGAAAATGGTTTTATTGCTCTTATGTAAAGCACTCTGTGTTTCGTATTTTGTATTTATGAATAAGGGCTATATATAAAGTTTATTTTTATATATTATTATTGTGTACAGTGATCTAAATTTATCTTGGATTCATCAAACACACCTTGACTTCCTGTATTTTGTGTGAACGTGCAGGTTGACAATTACCAACTTTATCTTGATCACATCAGTCTTACCTCCGTAACAACAGGGATGTGATTGACATCTCTCTCCTCCACATGTCTGAGGGGACAGTTGTCAGTCAGTAACAATGTCAGAACGTATGAAGGTGTTTTAAACAGAGAGAAACATGCTCAGTAACAAAAGAGCGGCCCTACCTGGTGGTGTCGTCCGACTGAGTTACAAACACGTTTCGTATTCTGTTTTCCACCTTGAGTTTCAGACGAGGATCTCTTTTATCTAAGAAAGGAAGTGAAGAGGCCGCCATGTTTCTTTTGTTTTAGTGAATTTACTGTCCAGGAATCCTGATGAGGAAACAGGTCCTGCAGTTTGTCCACGTCCTCGAGGATCGACGCTCTTTTCCCCGGATGTTTTCCTGGACTTGTGTGCCGGTTGCCTGGTAACCAACGCGGAGACAACTGAGAATGCGCCGGGATCGTTTTCTGCCGTTGTCATGGCAACTACCGGGGTGGCGGTCCTGCGTTAGACCGAATGAATGAGCGGCATGAAAATGAGATGGTGAAGAGGTCGAGGAGCTCTCACTCCGTCCTGATCCCCGTGAACCAGGCAGAGTCCCCGAGGACACAGTCCCATAATTCATTTCACTTTGAGGAAGTGGAATTAAAAATATAAAGAACCAAATATGTTGAGCATCCCAGCTGATGCAGACTTTGTTCAACCACAATCTGAGGCTTCAATGATGATACAGCGTTTTTCATTATATTAAGGTAATTTAAAAAAAATCAACAACAAAATATTACCTTGTCAAAACTGAATGAAATGTATGAATATAATGTTGATCTTTTGTTAGCTTAATTGGACACTGTTTCAAATTCAAATTTCTTGCTCTGGAAGTTTCAGGTTTGCACATCACACTTGTGTAAGTTCCATATTGAACAAAGAATGGTTTCCCCTCTAGTTGTGAGGTCATAAAACCTTGCACGTGCATGCAGAGATGATGTAAGCACAGAGAGAGGTTCGAGACTTTTTTCTGCACATGCATCAGTCTACATAGTGACTGTCAAACAAGGAAGTCTGGCTTCCTCCCACAGTCCAAAGACATACAGATTGGGGTTAAGTTGACATTGACCATTGGTGTGAACGTTTGTGTGAATGATTGTTTTTCTCTATATATCAGTGATATGCCCTCTCACACAAAGTAAGGTGGGATTGGCTCCTGCCCCCCAGCAATCCGAAAACAGCAGAGGTAATGAAAGAATGGGTGAATTAATGACCCGTTTTTCACTGCAGATATTTTTGACACGACTTAGCAGGGTACAACAGGTTTAATTAACAATTTTAATAAGGGTTGCACTGCATGTAGCTTTTGTAGTTGCAAAGCCAAAATGACTGACAGGACTTAATGATGCAGTTCCATGGTACAGAGCCAACTTTAACAGTATTAATTACAACAAGTTTCTGTCATAAAAATTGCTCATCCCAGCACCTTGACAATGCTTGCTGACATTTTTGCATTGCATTACTTGTCATCTTTCATGACGTCTTGTCTGTCTTGTGTAAAATGTGACAGTCCACCGAAATGTAGAAACAACCTCAGGGTCTAGTTCCTCCACCTGTATGAAGAAATGCAGAAGGACTCGTTCTTAAAGGTCCAGTGTGTAAGATTTAGGTGAAAGGGAACTATTGGCAGAAATTTAATTTAGAATAATCCTCATGTTTTCACTCATTTGTTTCATCTAAATTGTATAAATTGTAGTTTTCTTTACCCCAGAAAAGGCCCTTTACATTCACATACTTTATATTTACATTGAGGGGACCCTCTCTACAGGGGCCGCCATGTTTTTTACATTAGTCCAGACTGGACAAACTAAACACCTTTTGAGTTTTTAGGACAATTAAAGGCGACCACAGGTGTTCAGCTGCAACATGCAATTTCAACACTAGATATCACAAAATTCTACACACTGCAACTTTAAATGGAGGAAGCATTTTTCTCAAACATTTCCTAAGTGATTGTGAAACATAAACAAAAATCAGCTGTCTCGCTCTTAAGGCACATTGTCACACTTCTTCATGTCATAGTAAGAGCTGATGCTGTCATAAAGGTGGATCAACAACATCTGTAAAGAAGCAGAACCACTGTCACATGGTGAGTCTGAAGCTTTAAAGACTGTTATTGAAACAGCAGCGTGTATGTGTGTGTGAGAGAGTGTGAGGTCTAGGTATTAACTAATGTCATGGAGACCTAAATTTGTTTATACAGTCACTGGGACTTGTCAAAATTGAGTTCACATAATGTAAACCATTAAAGGTTAGGATTAGGCAATGTTATCTCTCGCTGTGTGTGTGTGTGTGTGTGTGTGTGTGTGTGTGTGTGTGTGTGTGAAAATGTAGTTGTCCATTAACTTTAGTTTTATGGTTGAGCAAATAGTGTAACTATTAAAAGTGTAAAAAATGTAACTGTAGCTGTGTTACTCTGATGTCATTTTTCTGCTTTATAACTCACTGTAACACGACACACAACTTCACATCAGTGTTGCTTTTGGAGCAGCAATATCAAACACAGTTGAACATGCCCTTAAAAGGCATCTGTGCTCTGGTTTGAGCTGCTGCTCTCTGATGTGTGCTGGTGCAGGTTTTAGCTCTTTCAAATTGGCTTGTTCTTGAATTCATAGAGTATGACTCCACACAGCATGTGTGTATTAAGCTGCTTATGTTGATTTATTATCTTTTGTGTGAGGGCTTTACAAAGCTAAACTTAACCTGTTTTTACATTTGCAGCTATTGTTGTTCTAACTTTGGTTTTTTGGTCCTTCTAGTACTTCTGGATCACCAGCCTCATCCCTGCACTGCAGCTCACCGTTGGATGTTGGGCTCCTGAGACTGGACAGCAGATCTTCTCCTGTTATGATTGCACTCAGCAGATCCACATCTCTGTACCAGAGACTAAACAATGATATGAGAGACCGACTGGCTCTCTGCTCCTTCAGTCTCTACACTGCAGACAACACATCAGGGAACTTTCTCAGGTGAGGAAAAGGGACAGTTGAACTGCAGTACATGGTATCTTGTAGGCTGCTTTGAACATGCCCATGAGATTTTCTTGTGCAAATGCATTTTAATAGAAAAAATACTGAATACATTTATCTTAAGAATTTCCATTACATTTTAGATTTGTGTATTGATATGATGCTATTGGCTAAATATATGTATAAATGTATTCATTTCTTGTTTTTACATGGTTCCAAAATATAATTCGGAGGGATTGCCATATTACCTGACAAAAGAAAGCCAAAAATAATGTTTGGTTGGAAACTTGTGTTGTTCAGTAAACTCAGTATTAGTGACTATTTCTTCAAACAGTTCATTTAATGTTCATCTCCCTGAAAAATGTTAGGCCCTGCTTCACATAAACTACAGGTCAGATGTGACAAATTCTATTGTTATTGTTTAATTTATGTTGACAATTATGGGACAAGTTGTGGTACGATTTCCATAGCTTTACAAATATGAACACACATATCCGGGCCCTAACACTCGTTGCCTGCAGTGGCTTCTACTGTCTATTCCTGTAGGAGGTGCCACTGAAACAAATACATGCTGCTATAATCTTGAGGAAAAAACTGCAGTTTTTCTGAATGTGATCAACTGAGAAAGTTACCGAGCAGCATTTATTGGTTGACATCTAATAATTTTAGATAAATGAAGCTTTTGAGCTCTGCATGCCTGGAGGTCTTGGACATGGATAATTGTGTCATTGTGCCCATGTGACTTCGCCGGCACTAACCAGTGTCTGGTGATCTGCCTCTTTGCCTTAAAGAGACAGGAATCTTTGTGTTGGTCGGTTTGCCAGACAGAATGCAGCCAAATCAGTTTTTGTGGTGCACTGATAACACTGTGAAGGATTTATTTTGAAGGCCCACTAAAGAAATCAGTTGATCACATTGCTTTTTGGTGATGGATATAGAGATATAAAAAGATTTTATCTTCTCCAATGTTAAACATGAAACAAGAACCAGATATTGCAGTCATGGCAGCAGCTTCTAGTTGAGATAGGTTCAGCAGTATATCAAATGTTCTAACTTTGTTTTATTTATCTATACCTGAAATTGTGTGTCAGAATTAAGGCTCCTTCGTGCTCAACGTTAGATGTGTATATGGAAACAGACAGAGCCTTCTATCAAATATAATCAGGGAAAAAAACATTTACCTGGGGGGGTAATTTCAATCACCTTTAGATCGTCACTAAATTATATAAGCTACTACACATATATAAGAAAATTAAAAAATGAGTCGTCAATAAGTTATAATAACATTTTTGATGGCTAATCAAGACAATGAGGGTGGGCAGTGGGGGAATTTAACCTCAGTACAAAACCCTGGTTACGGCCCTGCATGGCTTCTTGGAGCTAAGGTAGGTTTCTTGTAAGAGATTCAAAAAACAGTCCCTGTGATGCGTTCAAGTGACCTCTAGCAGCCATTATAGACCTTGTGTTTTGTTGTTCTGTCCTATTGTGCTTATTCTTCCAAATCCCCTGTAGGATTAGTGCACTTTAATGCCTGGTTGTCTCATTTGGAAACCAGTCAATTAAGACAGACATCTCGACTCTGCCCATATCTCCAGGGCTGTTTAGTGCTGTTCGCCTTATCTCTGCATATCCGAGTCTCATGACATATAAGGATACAGCCGTCACTGACAGGAACGGTCCCAAAATAATCTGAGGGCGCACAGCTGAGCCCCGCGCAGCGCACAGCGCTCCGCCGCACGCTGCTCTACCGCCGCGCTGTGCGGGAAACACCGACACCGCAATGACGAAATTCTGCTATTCTGAATACTTAAATCAGTTCCGTAACGCTGGAGGGAAATGTAATAATGTGCGGCCGCGTGTCCGAGCAGACGGATGGAGAGGAGACAGTCAGAGCCACGCGTTGTCAGAGCCGGAGTGAGTCTCTTCCTTTGTTTGTGTGTGTGTGTGTGTCTGTGTGTGTGTCTGTGTGTGTCTGTCTGTGTGTGTGTTTACGCGCCCGTGCGAATAATCCTGATTATTCTAATAATTCCCTCACATTTTGTCTATGTCCGTCTTCAAATACACTCAGTTGCATTGAAATGTTTTCATTTATCCATCTCTTCTTTCAAGGGATGTTGACCCGGTGGTCTGTGCCATCAGGAGAGGGGACGTGGAGGCCGTCACTGACCTGGCGTCATCCGCCCCTCACAGCCTGCTGAAGGAGAACAAAGATGGGTGGATACCTCTGCATGATGCTGCCTACTGTGGACAGGCTGGGTGTCTGAAGACCCTACTGAGGGGTAGGACACTGAAAGCATCATGGCATTTGGTCATAATTTGAAGCAGATATAGGATTTTTTCTAAATCAGGGGCCCTAAAAAGGCAA